ATGAATAAATTATGACATATCTTTAAAATGAAATATTCTACAGCAAAAAGAGCTAGTGATGTGTACAATGGCAAATATGAGTATTGTCAACATGCCATTGAAACCCTGAAGCTAAATACAAAAGAGAATATGTTGTATGATTCTATTTTTATGAAGTTGAGGCCAAGAAAAATAATCTATGGAGATGGAGGTTACAACACTGGTTGCCTTTGAAAAGGTAGAGGTTGCAGATAAATTGAAACAGAAAACTTAGGTAATTTTTTTTATTTTGGTAGGGGTATTGTTTAATGTGTATATTAATTTCTCATACTCATCAAATTATGTATTTAAGATCTACACACTTTCACTGCTTGCAAATTTTATTTTGATTTAAGAGACATGTGACCTCACATGGGTTACAAGATTCTTGGAAAACATGGGTTCCTGTTTTGTTGCTGTCTTAAAGATGCTGCCAGTGGCTTTTCAACAATCTAAAGTTTAATCCATCTGCTGAAAAAGTACAATCTCTGAAACTGAGAAACCAGTAATTTTCAGATCATTCTGAACACTTATTTCATGTATTCCTGTTTTGAAGATGTCATTCATTGGTTGGAAGGTTGATGAGGATATCCTATAAGCCCCTAGCTATTAAATCAAGTTTTATATATTTCTAAAATATTCTTCTGTATTGATCTGACATGATTTCATAAGTAACAGCTTACTTACTGTGGACAGAAAAGAATGTACATAATTCTTAAAATATTTTTCTTTATATATTATCAATGGAATAAGAAAGACAGTAGAAATAAGACATTTAGACACCTGAGACTTTGAGAAGTTGAATGTGAAACTACTTTATTCTGTAAATTTACAGTAGTCATGTTTGGATGGCTACTTAGCTAGAAACTACATTTCCCAATTTCACTTGTGGTAAGACAGACTAAATTCACATCAATGCAATGTAAGAAGTAGCAACTCACTTGTTCTGACTAATTTTATGTCAACTTGACACCAACTTGACACAGAGTTGTTTGAAATGAGAGAACCTCAATTGAGAAAATGTCTCCATAAGATCTAGTTATAAGGCATTTTCTTAATTAGTGGTTGATGCGGGAGAGCCCATCCCATCCTGGGTGGTGCCATCCCTGGGCTTGTGGTCCTGCATTCTATAAGAAAGCAGGCTGAGCAAGGACCAAGAAACAAGCAAGTCAGTAAGCAATAGCCCTCCATTGTCTCTGCATCAGCTCCTGCTTCTAGGTTCCTACCCTGTTTGAGTTTCTGTCTTAACTTCCTTCAATGATAAACAGTAAGCTAAATAATCCCTTTCTTTCCCAAGTTGCTTCTGGTCATGATGTTTCACCACAGCAATAGTACCCCTAACTAAGACACTTAAGAGAAAATTACTTGTTTTTCTCCTCTGGTAGCATGCATAGCATCTTCCCACACTATAAAAGGTACCCTGCAGGGATGGACTTTCTAGAAGAGAAGCAGCTTGATTTCTTTATATTCTGCGAGTCAATTACAAGGTATCAATAGAACAGGGTCTTGCCTTCAAGATTTGTATGGTAACCAAAAGCATTAGCAATCACCTGTAATATTTGAGGTGGTCTATAGAACCTTACTGGCCAACATCTCCAAAAGAGGCAAGTCATTCCTAACATGGAGATTTTTAGTTGTTAGCCCATGGTGTCTAGTAGAGGCATTGTTGCCCCCATTATAGAGTAATTCCATTTCAACTCCTTCTTTATGAGTGTGCAAACACACATAATTATACGCACACACATTTATGTATACACATATACACACATATGCAAACACACAGACATGCATGTATACACACTTGACCTAGCAAGACATCCCCAGTGATGTTTCAGTGTCATGAACATCATGACAATAATAACTACTTCCTGATTGGATTTTAGCTGAGTCCAGATGATGATAGCCATACTTTGGACCATTATCAGGCCAAGAACCTGTGGCTAGACAAGTCATAAGCCCTAGTCTACTATTATTCTACTAACATGAACTATGAACATAGTATTAAATTGATTCCTAGTAACTTATATCCATAGATTAATATGTCTCTTAAGCATCATTAGAGAAACTTCTATTTGTAGTAGATGGTGATTAACACAGATACCCACACCTGTCAAGGTACAAAGAATAAGAGACTGTGGAATACTCAGTCCTAAATGGAACATATATACTCAACCACCCTCTTTCAAAGGCCCCAGAATCACTGCAGAAGAAAATACAGAAATAGTGTAAGAGCCAGAGGTTGTGGATGACAAGTAAACTGTTTTCTAGACACATCAGTACAATTTCACATATGAATTCACAATGGTTGTAACAACACACACAAGACCATTGGCAGTTCAAGTCAGGCAAAATCTCAGCATGGAGAGGTGAGGTGGGCATGCAGGCTCGCCCCTAAGGAGCTATTAGTAATTGTTAGTGTAGGTAGAGCGAGAGTTGGTTTTCTTTAAAAGCGTAGCCCTTGATATGTTGACCATAAACCAGTGGAAGTCCAGATAACCAAGACTATATAGGTGTCACAAAAATTAGACTTGATGGGTTTTAAAAAGTGGATGTACAAATTTGGGTGGGGAGGTAAGAGGAGTGTATCTGGAGGTAGTTCCGGAGGGGGATGGATATGATAAAAATATAATGAACAAAACCAAAAAAAAAAAAAAATAAGGGTGGGGGAGGAACTTGCCTTACGCTTCCTTCTTGTCACTAACCCTGTTTCACAGGTTTCAGTGTAATAGTGGCATGAGCTAGCTTCAACCATGCAAATGAAGCCAACATGATAGGGCAGTGGTTCTCAACCTTCTTAACGCTGTGACCTTTTAACATAGTTCCTCATGTTGTGGTGACACTCAATCATAACATTAGTTTTGTTCCTACTTCATAACTCTAAATTTTGCTACCATTCAGATCTGTATTATAAATATTTGATAAGTAGGATATCTGATATGCAACCCCTGTGAAAGGGTATGTCAAGCCCCAGGTATAGGGGATAACAAAAACTTATACAATGTTTGGGTGCTAGGTCTAAAAGCAAGTTCTAGAGTAGTGCTTGTGTATTAAAGCCTGGTTCCCTCACCTCTAGTCTGCTATGTAAGAGGAAAAGTTTCAGTCTTATTTAAATCATCAAATTGCAGGCTCTTTGCTGCATCATTTTCACTAATCTACCTACTATTCATGCTTTTGAGGCTTGTGGTTTCTAGGCAGGACTTTCTAAGTTACACACACACACACACACACACACACACACACACCAACACCATGGCTTTTATGTCAGCTTGACACAGCTAGTCATCAGAGAAGAGGGTCCTGCAATTGAGAAAATGCCTCCATAAGATCAGGCTGTAGGCAAGCCTGTAGAGAATTTTCCTAATTAGTGATTTATGTGGGAGGACCCAGCCCATTGTGGGTGGTGCCATCCCTGGGCTGGTGGTCCTGGGTTCTCTAAGAAAGCAGGCTGAGCAAGCCAGGGGAAGCAAGCCAGTAAGCAGCACCCCTCTATGGCCTCTATCAGTTCCTGCCTCCAGCTCCTTCTCTGTTTGAGTTCTTGCCCCAACTTCCTTTGACTTCTTTTGATGATGAACAGTGGTATAAGCCAACTGGGACACTTTCCTCCCAACTTGTTTTCTTGGTCATTATGTTTCACTGCAGCGATAGACCCTAACCAAGGCCCCATCTTTATCTGTCATGCAGTATCAACCTTGTTGCTTCAGCTAGTCCTCCACTGCCTAAAAGGTACCACCAATACCTTTTTTGCTTTCTTTCTCTCCTTCCCTCCCCCTCTTTTCCTCCCTCTTCAGCCCCTTCCCCCTTTTTCGAGACAGAGTTTCTTTGTGTATCCATGGCTGTTCTTGAACTAGCTCTGTAGACCAGGCTGGCCTTGAACTCATAGAGATCTGTCTGCCTCAGCCTCCAGTGTGTTGAGAGTAAAGGCACGAACTGCCATTGTCTGGCAATACCTTTTTTGTGTGTAAGATCCCATTCTCTATACTTAATCTTATAGCCTGCATTTGCCTTCCCTTGCATCTTGTGTTCTGGTTGTACTGGATAATACTTGGATGCACCCTGTAAAAGAAGAATTCTATGCTCACATTCCAGCCAAATGGAATTCCAGCCTCCATATCCTGCCCTTTCCCATCCATGATATAAATTTTCTTTTTTTTAAAGATTTTATTTATTTATGTATGTGAGTATACTGCTGCTCTCCTCAGACACACCAGAAGAGGGCATCGGATCCCATTACAGATGGTTGCGATCCACCATATGGGTGCTGGGAATTGAACTCAGGACCTCTGGAAGAGCAGTCAGTGCTCTTAACTGCTGAGCCATTTCTCCAGCCCCGATATAAATTTTCAAAACGTACACAAGAAAAAACAGAGAAGCTTTTCTACCCCTAGACAGAACACCACTCTCTGCCTCTTTCTGTCTCTGTCTTTGTCTGTCTCTGTCTGTCTCTCTGTCTCGTTGTCTCTTGCTGTCTCTCTCTGTCTCTTTCTCCCTGTGCTATACTTCTGGATCACTTTGGACAGCCCCTTCATTAAACCACTTATCTCCCCGAGCTATTAGGTTTTCTTTTTTCCTTCCTTCCTTCCTTCCTTCCTTCCTTCCTTCCTTCCTTCCTTCCTTCCTTCCTTTCTTCCTCCCTTCCTTCCCTCCCCCTCTCTCTCCCTTTCTTTCTCTTTGAAGTAGAGTCTCATTATGTAGCTCTTGCTGTCCTAGAACTTGCTTTTAGACCAGGCTGGCCTTGAATTAATAGATATCCGCTTGCCTCTGCCTCTTAAATGCAGGGAGTAAAGGCATACACCACATCTGGCCCTTTGGTATTTTATATGTCTGATCTCAAAGTTAGAATATGTATCCCAAAGGCAACGTATCTTATATATTTTAATACCTTTGGCAGTTAGCATATGACTTGTATCTGATGACTGTTGAAAAGACAACAGAAGAATTTAACAGGTCACATATTTGCAAACCCTACACATAACCATTCTTACCTATTCAGTGCAAATGCATAGTGAAATTTAATGTTGTGCTGATCAGCCAAATCACACGTAGGCAGCATCTTCAGTGTTTCTACCAGCTTGACCATTGCATCATAGTCCTGTTGGCAAAAGGTCTCAGAGTGTGAGAGAGACAGGAAACAGCTCTTCATAGATTTTTCTGAATAGTTATAAACATAAGACAGCCTCCAAGTTTAAAAATAAACCATTCTTTGTAGATAGAATTTAGTGAAGTTAATTGTAGCTTTGACAAGTACAAAGAAAAAAATATCAGAAAAGATAGATGAGACAGAGCAGGAATTCCTGCTACCAGAGGGCACAAAAAGTCAATAGAAAATTTATTACATCCACAAAAAAAGAGGGCAAGTGAGCCTCGTAACAGGAAAAAAATATTATGTTGAGTGTGGGAGGGTTAATACCAGCAGCAGAACTGTGTTAAAATGAATTTGATAAATACAAGAGAACTTAGTCACTTTCCCATGGAAATGGAGGAAACATTTTATTCATTCATACTCTGGCTAAATTAATCAAATTAATATAATTTAGAATTTCCCAACTTCAGCACTGTTGATATTCTGGGCCTACATTTCTGCTCTGTGATGCTATCCTGTGTATTGTTAGATGGTTAGCTGCCTCCCTACTAGAAGACACAAGTACTCCTGTTCCACAAGTCAGTTTTGACAAATGGAATATCTCTTCAGACAGTGCCAAATACCCTCAGGCTGAGAATTACTGTTCCAAACGCTACATACCTGAGATATCAAGTGTGTCTCTACCGGGTCCCACTTTAGCAGTGCCATTAACAAGTTTTCTTTACCCAAGCATAGAACTACTAGTATTGGCGAACTCTCTGTTAGCCAATCAGCAGAGAGGATCTTCCTACAGATATCTGACACCTGGTGCTGCAGTCTAAGAAAAGAAGACAATAAATCCCTAGAACCTTCCAGCTCTACTTTGATCCTAGGAGTTCTAGCAATAAAAAATTAACAACTGAAGACACTCAGGAAGGGAAGGGCAGAAGAAGGCCAGCAACTCCAAGAAACATTTCAAGAGCAGGGTATGGTAGCATATGCCTATAATCACTTTACTGGGGAATGGTAAGCAGGAGCATCTGGAGTTCAAAGTCATATTCACCTATACAGAGAGTTCAAGGCTCAATGGGTGTACAAGAGCCTGTCTCCAAATAATAGCAAAATCAAAACTAAAAAGAACTACTTCAAGAAAAGTCAATTATATTTTCTTGTTGCATAATAGCCACCTGTTATTAAAGGCAGGTATTTTGTCACTCAGGCCATGGGTTCCTTAGTAGCTAACTCTGTTTTGGTCCAGATCATAAATGGATGGCTCCATCTTTCAGATGTACAGAACATGTACCTGTAGTGTAGCTTTGTAGTATTCTACAAGTAAAGCATATTAGACTTTGTGCTTCCAGGAGGAAGATACACAAAATATTCTTTTCTTTTCTTTTCTTTTTTTTTTTTTTTTGGTTTTTCGAGACAGGGTTTCTCTGTGTAGTCCTGACTGTCCTGGAACTCACTCTGTAGACCAGGCTCGCCTCGAACTCAGAAATCCGCCTGCCTCTGCCTCCCAAGTGCTGGGATTAAAGGTGTGCGCCACCACTGCCCGGCCAAAATATTCTTAAAACATGTTCAATTTGGAAAAGAAAGCCTCAGTTTCCTTCATATTTCTACACCTCATAACGTGGGCCTCAAAATCTTTCTGATGCCAATTTTACAATAACCATCTCTATTCCCTAGTTCTGTACCACAGCCCAGCTGCTGCCACCCTCACTGATGAGTGATGGTAAAAAGAGAAAGATGACTTAAATGCTTAAAGAAGATGCCAGAAGAGCTGGGAACAAGGGCAATGAAGCTAGTCAGCCTCTGCTTGAATCTTGACTTTACCACACTCTGTGAATTTGGGCACGTTACTTCATTTCCCTGTGCCTCAAATTTTTTCATTTAAAATTAAAATAGGAACAATAAGAGCAAACCTAAATCAGGGGTCAAGAGGACTTAATGAATCTGGATTTACAAAGAATTGGAGAATAATAATAATAATAATAATGATAAATAAATAATAATAATGATAAATTCTTAGCTTCTTATTTTAAGCAGTTCTATACAAACAGGACCCCTTGTTGCAGTGCTCACTCCAGCTCTAATATGACAAATTATCTCCAAATCATACACAATATCCCATCACCAGGTTATATACCTAGTTAGAGTAGCTTCTTCATCACACTCCTGATGTAAGTATGCATACTTTACATGAAGATTTCCTTATAACAAAGAAAAGTCAGGCATGTGCTAACCATACCTAAGCACATTTCATACCTGAATATCACGGTAGGACAGAAGTAAGTTAATGATGATGTCCGATGTCAGAACCTCGATGTTATCCATGCGAAATTTGATCCGAGTCAGCTCTTTTGCCAGTTCGTCACCTTGGTATTTCTCTCTGGCTTTCCGGATGTCATTTAACAATGTTTCTTTATAATAAGCACTGGAGAAAGAAACAAAAACCCCAGATCATATACAGGCATCCAGGACTGTCTTGAGTGCTCAAACAGGCATGGGTCTCAATAGCACATAAGGACCTTGGCCATTCCTGAGCCTTCCTATACCAGTAAACATAAGATGATGTCTACCTTTTTGTATATTGCAGCAATAAATTAGTAAGTAATAATGAAATTCAGTTTATTACAACCTTAAAAATATCTTCAAAGCTAAACTTTCAGACAGACAGTCTATGGAATTTTCAATGCAACCCCTGAGAATTACACACACACATACACACACACACACACACACACACACACACACATACACCTTGCAGCAAGCTTATATGATTATTTAATTTCCTCCACTATCAACAGATTTTCAAAAGCCAAACAAAACTCCAGAAGACATGAAACCTAGGTAAATTCATTTTAGAAACATTCTCATCTTCCAAGTGTCCCCAGTTAGTAGTTACGAAGTGGTTCCCAGGTGAAGGAGACAGGAAACTGGTGGTGTATCTTTGAGCAATCCAACAAAGGGTATAACAGAGGCCATGCCAGGAAGATTACAGACAACTGTCACCCTTAGCTTTCCTTGTTATATTTTTCTGTGAAATGTTTTCTAATATAAAGTAAAAAAAAATCCCCTCTTCTGAGCATTTAAACAACAAAAGAGTATGTAAAAACATTTAAAGCTGTAAATCTACCCCGAAATGTCTTCATAGCCTTTCATAAAACCAATATTAGTATGTGGTACTTAAGACTTGAAGAATCCTAATTTAGTGGTACAGAAGTCAACTTAAAATGATGACCATAGATTGAGTTACGTATCTTGCCTATTTTCCAAGTAATTTTAAATAGAGCCTGGGTATTACCAAGTGGTAATGGTAACAACCCATAAAAACAGCTGAAATTATATAACTAACTGTAAAGAATAAATTTATGAAAGAATAAATTAAATAATCAACTCTATAGAAGGAAAAAAACAGATAAAATGAGAACAGATGGTACTTAGTCTGAATAATTATAAAATAGTGGCACATAAATGTGCATACAGCACATAGCCTGGTCCAATGTCCTAATAAGACCTCAATTAATATTTAAATAATAGAGTAATAGCCTACAGAAAGGGTTCTGATATAAAAATGCCAGGGCACTGCTTTCACTCTTTATTTCTTTATTTGTCAAGTGCCATTACACTAATGATGAGCAAATTAGTAGGTCCTGCCAGTATTTAAAATTCTGCTATTAACTGAATGAGTCATTAAGTTAGGTTATAGCCACTGCCCATTCAGCAGACAATAAAGGCATCAAAGCCATTAAGGTATTATTAGTTTGGCCTGATGAATAAAAAGTTATACTTTAGACTTGCTTTCAAGGGTAACTGAAAAAAATCAAAAACAAAAAAAAATATAAAATAAAATATGAATAAGCACTGGAGAAAGAAACAAAAAATAAAAAATAATTATTTTATTTATAAAAATAAAATATAATAAGAACTGTAACTTTTATGTAAATGAAATTATGCCTGACATGTTGGAGACATCAGATACATAGTATGTAGTCATTTCTTTGTCTAGTAACCAGGGAGGATGTTGTTAATCACTGTGGACTTGGAAATGGTTTCCAAGTACTTTCAAGCACAAGACTCAAGATAAAGATAATAAATCTGCCAGAGTTGGTACTTGGGCTAAAAACTTACCTGCCATTCCTGTTCAGAGGTTTTTAAACATAAGTACCATTAACCCCCTCATTAACCACTGTCAGGCACCAGTCATAGGATAGGCATTTTGAGCTTTTGGAAATTAAAATAACTCTCCCCCTAGCTTGTTTTCCTCCTAACACATGGATTTAAATGAATGAGAAACAAACTTGAACCTATTTCTTAAAGACATAATTCCCCTGCCAGATTTAAGCTATATACCTCTTCATTACACCTAAAAATATGTCATTAGGAGAGGTTTCTCTCTAAATTCCACTAATTTTTTTCCTTCAAAGTAAAATAATAGCTAGCAAGGTGTCAAAGAATCCCTCATTTGTTTTCTGTTGCTGCCATCTGAGTTTAGAGCCTTCTTCTCCATTAAAGTCTGTATCTCAAGGAAAGGCAAGAGGACAGACAAGGTGAGAAGCTGTTAATAGGTGTGACTTTATGCGGCACTTTGATGGTAACCCTCCACAGTTCAGGGTGCCATGATCTGAGCCAAAGTATGACATGTTGTCCTTGACATTTCATTACAAGTCAGTTCTGCCAGTCCTTTGGATTTTCATTTGTTTTGGAAGAACAAATCCTTCTTATGACACAACTTACAGGAATAAATCCTTTAAATTGATTGTGAGCAAAATAACAGGGATCCTCTAGTTAAGAATAATTTCCTGCCTTTAACTTTTCAACTAACAACTCCAAAGGTAAGGTTTATTTGAGCACTAAGGTTCCAAAAGGGGCAATGACTTCTCCAAGGCTACCCAGTGAGCCATAGCCTAAGCCAGGATTCATACTCAAACCTGTCCACCTCTGAGTGGACACTAGACTCCATGACGTCAATCTATGGATAACATGTCACAGAACATCCTGAGGTCAGGTTGGTTGAAGCTTGACTCAATGCATGCTTATAAGAAGAACTTAAGGTCAGAATGACCTTGCTTTGGCAGTTTCAGAACCTGAATAACTGAGAATATAAAGTTATGTTCAGAAATTATCTGAAAACACAGAATCTTAGAGTTGAAAAAGCTCTAACCAACAATCATGGAGTTAAGTTTCCCATTTTCTAAAGGAGAAAAGAGCCATAGAGAAAAAGAGTTACATATCAAGGTCACATAGGGAACCATGGCTAGCCCCAGGCCCAATTCTGACCAGCTAAACTTCAGTTCTCTTCTTTTCTTGCTTCATCTTAGGAACTCATTTTAGGGAGGAACTAAGGGGGTGATGATAGATTCCAGGATGACTAAGTGAATAGCCAATGAACCCTATTCTCTAGGTACCCTGGTCACTTCAAAGTATACCTTATACCACCTCCCTGAAAGTAGAGGGGAATTTCTGCAAGACTCTCAGGATTTTTAACGGGTGATGGAAATTACCATGAAGTCACACGGATGTCCTTAAGGAGGCTAGTGAATCTGTCCACCAGGGGCATACACAGTGGGCCGAGGATGGTGTCCCAGTTAGGCTGCATGTACTCTGAGGCTCTCCTTTGGGCATCACTCTCACAGCAAAAATAGTCAGCACATGGTGTCACAGTGTAGGGGATGAAATAATAATTTCCACTAGATGCCTGTAAGAAAAAAAAAAGTGTTTCAGAAAGCAAGTGATGCAGAAGTACACAGCTATGGCTCTTAGCAGGCAGACCTGGTAGGACAGGGAAGGAAAATATGTACAATATGGACAATACTTTGTGTGATATTATTTCAAATCTACTAGGCTCAAAACAGAAAAACACTCAATTTCAAATTGCTACTAATTTGCCTGTGAATTTCATTGGGAAAAATGTTAAGAGTCTTAGGTTTTAGAAACCATATAAGCTCATTATCTGTCCTCAAAACCACAAGAAACTTGGATCCCTTGAAAGTCAAAGATAATAAAGTGGCATATTAGTTTTCAGTGTAAATTAAAAGTCTACATTATTTGATGATTTAATATAGATGCTATTAAATTTGTGAATAAAAATGGTTTTATGAGAATCACATATTGATACATATGATTACTTTCAAAGATTTTGTGAACAAAATCTGTTGAAGTATTTTACAGCATTAAGCAATACTCACATAAAGCAACATCTTTTGTTTTACAGAATAATTATAGTTGACTAAATCATGATCCTTTGAAAAGCATAAGCATTACATTTAAAAGGCATTAACTCAGTATTCAACTTTTAACACACTGAAGTCTAAAAATATTCTTTATATGATATTCTTATAGTTGACTATTTACACACACACACACACACATATACAAATAAATTTGCCATACGTATGCAATAAAAAGAATGGAGACCAAGGGGCTGACTTTGGAAAACTATATTTGAAAATAACTGAGATTGTACCATGAATAGTTTACATCTTGTTGAATTGTTGGTCAAAGGGTTCCCATGGACCACTCCCAGGAGACTGTCAAAGATATTGGCTGCTCACCACAACCTGATAGTAAGGCCATATTCCTGAATACAATGCTTACTTAGATCATCAAACATGGAGAAGTCAATATGGTACCCAACAAAACACTTACTGACTAGCATTTATGCTGCTGGAAGTTACTCTGCACAGTATCAGAGGAGAAAAGTAAGCATCAGGGTCACTCAGCTGATAAGCCCTACAACCTATAACGGTGACGTGACTGCAGGATATACTGGTAGAATGGTGGGATAGATGTTATGGGGGTAACCAACAACTTTTTGACTGGATTTAAGTCCCAATCCATGAGATGTAACCTGCTAAAGTAGCCAACAACCTGAGACTAGATTGGACATGGGCTTAGGGAAAAATCTACTAGTATTATTCCGCTAAAGAAATATAGCAACATAGCTACATATTTAGCTGAATGTAACTCCAACAGGAGCTAAGACTGAGTATGGATGCTCAGTAAACTAATGCCACTCCAGATCCTGCTAGATATATCTAGAAAGAAACAGCCTCAGTGAATTCTGGGTTAGTCAGGTTATATTTAGATCACTGTCCCAGCTGCAAATTACATTGACTGTCACCAAGCTGAACATAATTCATTTGAGACTGTCATATTGACCATGCTGGCCTCAGACTCACTGTGTAGCTCAAGATGTCTTTAGACTCCTGAATCCTCTGCTTCCACTTCCCAAATTCTGAGGTTATAGGCATGTTCCATAGGTCCTTCATGTACTCAATCGTTTCTTTAAACTTTTAGGGGAAAAAAAACTAGTTTAAAAATATTGACCTAGCTGGGCAATAGTGGCACATGCCTTTAATCCCAGCTCTTGGGAGGCAGAGGCAGGCAGATTTCTGAGTTTGAGGCCAGCCTGGTCTACAGAGTGAGTTCCAGGACAGCCAGGGCTACACAGAGAAAGTCTGTCTTGAAAAACAAAAACAAAACAAAACAACAAAAAAAACCTTTTGACCTTATCGCCAGTGGTCTTTAAACTATGTTTGGTGGTATATGCCTGTAATCTTGGCACTTTGGAGACAGAGGCAGGGGACCAGAAGTTCAAGATGATCTCCAGCTCTATACTAGGTTCAAGGCTAGCCTAACATACATAGAGACCCAGTCTCTGAAAATAATTTTAGACCTTAAATTCCTTTATCTCAGCTTGAATTTTGAAAGAATTTATACGGCAAGAAGAACCATTCATTTAACTTCTTCCAATTTTTAAACTAAAGTAATAGAGGTATCCAGGAAGTTGGACATACTAAAGATTTAACATCAGAAAATACTTTTGGGGGTTGGAGAGATGGTTTATTCAGTACAATGTCTGTTGCACAAGTGTAAGAACCTGAGTTGAGAGCCACAACACCCAAATGAAAGCCAGGCCTAGAGCTTGTTCATAATCCTAGTGATGAGGGGTATAGACAGGCAGATCCCTAAAGCATATTGGACAGCCAGCATGGTTAAATAGATGATCTCCAGGTTAAATGAGAGACTGTATCAAAAAATGAGGAGAACACCTTAGGAAAATAGCTGTCATCAACCTCTGGTATCATCTGCATGCACTCACATAAACATAACCCACATGAATGCATGTACATTACACAAAATGGGTAATTTTAAAAGTATACTGTGTGCCCAAATGGGATATCAAATAAAGGACAAGACTGCTTTTAAATTAAAAAAATAAATGTATTATAGAGAAAAATTTCATATCATGATCTAAGATAAAGCAGAAAATGTGGGAAATTTTATAACTTATAATCTGCTTTATGAAAATATAGGTAGCATTCTTGTTTCTACTTTAATTTAAAATATATTTAATTGTCCTGAAATTGTCTTTTTTTCACTGTGTTGGTCTCTGTTATGTCACATTTTGAATCTTAAAATGAGCTATTAAAAATTACCAACACTGGCTCACTAAAACACATTTCAAACTAAGTGAGTTTTATTTTGGGGACCACAAGATCAGTAATTTTAGTTCTGTAGAACTTTGAGTATCTGTTCCAACTACTATACTCAACTATAGGAGTGTGGAAACTAACACAGACTACCCACCAACATAGGGGCAGGGGCCATGTGCCAATACAATTGTATGTATGGATATAAATTCAAATTCCATATTTGTGTAGTCATGAATTAATTTTATTATTTCCAAATATTTAGAAAATATTTTTATAACCCATCCTTGGGTCTGGAGAGATGGCTCAATGGTTAAGAGCACTGTCTGTTCTTAAAGAGGACCCAGGTTCAGTTCTCAGCACCTACATGGCAATTCATAACCACCTGTAACTCTGATTTCAGGATGTCCAACAACACTTTCTTCTGGCCTTTGTGGTCACTAGACATGCTCCATACATGCAGGCAAATATTCTTACCCATGAAATAAAAATATTTTTAAAAATTCTTAATTCTAAGGCCTTATAAAATAAGCAACAGGTCTAGCTCATCTCAGACTAACCTTTCAGATGCCCCCATTAACCATGAAAGTAAGATATTCTGAGAATAATTACCCAGCTGTGAAACAGCAGCTGCAAACCATCCCTGAGGGTACCAGCTATTGGCTGGCATTAAACTCCCCAAAACGTAAGTACCAATATTACAAATAGAAGGTGAAAAAGTTCATCTGTGTGGATAATGACTGCAGAAATGTGGCTCATATCTTCACCAGGAATTAAAATTGCCTGTATCCAAGGAATGAAAGCCCCTTCCTTCTTTCTAATACTTAGAAGTTCTCAAGATCAAAACTAAGGTTTTAGCAGGTCAGAGACATTTTTTTTTCCTCTTCGCTCCCAGGAAATCCATGTTGCTAAAGAAAATTAAATTAAGTTAGATTTGCATATTCTAAGTTGAAATGGTTTTTGAACTGAAACTGATGGTTATTGCAAAGGTCTTCCAATTTCAGATCGAAGGATGAAAACACCAAATGCATTGGTGAGGTACAGAAGGTAAAATGTGTTTGAAGAATTATAACTTATTTTAAGGGTATTTGTGGCTGGGCAGTGGTAGAGCACGTCTTTAATCCCAGCACTTGGGAGGCAGAGGGAGGCAGATTTCTGAGTTCGAGGCCAGCCTGATCTACAGAGTGAGTTCCGGGACAGCCAGGGCTACACAGAGAAACCCTGTCTCGACAAACCAAAAAAAAAAAAAGGGGGGGGTATTTGTGTCAAACTAGAAGTGTCCCAAGCATCTCAGAGCCTATAATCTCCAGAAAAATTACTGTAACCACTTAAAGCCCTGCTTTAAAACCATTTAAAGTTCCTGTAAAAGGTCCTACGGATATATAAGAAATGGAAAAACACTGTTCAGGAAACTTCACTAAATAGTGATAAGACAAGTAAACTTCTGGAGCATCTGAGCCATAATCTGTTTAGCCTCAAGTGGCAGAGATTATATTCAGTGTAGCCAAGAAGATAGGATTCTTTCTAGCAGAGTCTAGGATGATACCATGTCTTGGTGTTGTAGGTGCTCTGTTTCTATCAAGTGTGATCAAAAGGATCAGGGCTTCCCTTTTCTTTCCAGCACTTTTTTTTTTTTTATATAGGACAGAAGCTCTATCCTAGAAGGCAGCAACAGCAACTATGAATGACTCGACAACAACACCACCCTATGTTCTGAAGGGTTTTGCTCCTGATCATTGAGAAGGTGAAGATTTCATACCAGGAGATGCAAACTAAGAAGATACAGGGCTGCCACCTCTACCCCTTGTATCATAGAACTATAGAACTAAGTATCAACACAAGAAAAGTTACTGCCTCAATTGCCTGCTCCAGACAATCAGTACAGTATAGTGTCTGAGGAAGGAGTGGCTGTAAGCACAGCTTTGTAGCTCTCAATAGGGAGCTGGCTTTATGTGTAATGTGACATGGGGATTTTCTAGGCAATGTGAAAAAAGAGAGACTGGTGTTAAACAGCTAAGAGGAGCCTGGCAGCACTATAACAGTAAATGAAAGGTAGATTAGCTATAAATTTTTCAGAGAGTAAGCTACAGAAAAAGACAGCTAAAAGGAGCTTTCCCAAGGTTAGGGCAGGCTTTGAGAACAAGACGAAGCTGAGGGCAGAGAGAGATGAAGGTAGGAGTGGACTATTTTCAAGAGAAATAATTCAAGATTGATGGTTGAAATTTTACAACAGAAGGAACTTTGGGGCCTAGATTGTTCCAAA